GAAGAGATGTTGCAGCTCTTTGCGTATTTTATCGCATTTACCATGGATAGTGCTCTGAGGAATTGTTCAGACTAATTTCATCCGCTCAATTTCACCATCGCACATCGCGGCAAATCTTGCGATACCATCTATACCACCTGGATTATGTTCGATTTAGAAAATGTTTTCTTCCCCGCACAATTTCCTTGTGGAATCGATTACCACCAGCGATTTTTCCGGACCGATACGACTTAGGGACCTTCAAGAAAAGAGCCTACTCCTTTTTAAAAGACCGGCAACGCATCTGCAATCCCCCTGGTGTTGCAGTTGTTCGTGGGCGGCGGTAATCACTTACCGCCTAACCACCACTAATCACTTATCAGGTGAGCCGCATGCTCGTTTGTCCCCTCTCCTATAAAAAAAACTTCAGGAACACGTGCATTCTGGTCTCTTGCCAAGGCTGTCCAAACTTGGAACTTCTGTCAGCCATCTCTTCCATCTCTGAACAGAGAGGGTGACTCACTGGTCCATGCCGCAAAGGAGAAAACCAATCTGTTAGGTTTTCTTTTTGCGTCCAACTCGGGGGGAATACACCGCCGACCATACCACCGTGTGAGTGCTTCATGCCGGATGTGCGGCTTACACAGCGCTCGATTCGCAAACACTCCTCTCCCTGGACGTCAACAAGTCAAGTGGGCCTGATGGAGTCCCTCCCATTGTGCTGAACACGTGTGCTCCGGAGTTGGCAGGTTTTAACGCATCTTTTCCGGTACTGCTAGTAGTAGAAGGGGGGGGGGGGGGGGGGATTTCGGTTTAAAATGTCGATCTTTTTCGTCCATTTTATTCCCACGATTAGCTAGGGAAATAAGCAATCACCCCCGGCAGAGCCTCCAAGACGTAGTCCCGAAATCATGGAAGACGGCTTTTGTCCACCCGATCCCCAAAAAAGACGACCCCTCAGACCCTTCTAAGTACAGGCCTATCGCCATCACCTCCTTGTTCTTCAAAATAATGGAATACATAATAAACTGCCAGCTCATGCGGTATCATCATCGTCAATATAGTTTTCGTCGCGGTCGATCTCATAGATGGGCGGAGGCAGTAGAGGCTTTGGCCCTTAGTTTGGATATAGCGAAGGCCACAAGGCGTTTCGCTGACACTATAGAAGGCGGGTGTAAGTGATTAACTACCATTGAGCACTGGGTCTAGTACGAATTTGAGTTTGTTCAAATTTCTGCACATTGTTTGTAATAGGTAAATAGAGTAACAGATTAACTGGTAACCATAAGTAATTATAATACGCTTGGTGTTGCCCCACTGCAGACTGTCGCCCTAAGCGAAGTTAACGAGTAAAGCAGTAAATAAATATGAAGGAGATAAAACAATCAACAAATTACATGGTAGTTAAATAGTAAAATCCGATATTTTTTTTTAAATTAGGTGATGTTTCGTAAAAACATACAATTCATTTTTATTTACGTCATCATACCACTCTGTCACTTGTTCACAACTCAATATAATGACAAGATGCTGACCGCGAACTCAAAAGTTGTGATTGCTGTCGTGAACCACTTCTAACATAAGCGTTTAAGCTTACTAGGAGTGGTTATAGAGAATTTTGGTAATGTTAATAGAATTACTAGTATTTTTTTAAAATATACATCTATTCACATTGTAATAACTGTTAATCCAATACTTTAAGAAGGCACTCTTACGCGTATATATATATGCAGCGTTCGGGAAACTACGACACATCTTCTCGTCAGACATACCTTAAACCTTAAAACGAAATTGTACAACCAGTGCGTGGTTGTACAGCCAGTGATGACTTACGGATCTGAGACGTGGTCCTTCACTGCTGGCCGTATGAAGAAGCTCAAGGTCGCTCAGCGAGCTATGGAGAGGGCTATGCTCGGGGTTTCTCTGCGTGATAAACTTAGAAATGAGTATATCCGCAGTAGAACCAGAGTAACCGACATAGTCCAACGGATTAGTAAGCTGAAGTGGCAGTGGGCCGGCCATATGGCTCGAAGAACCGACAACCGATGGGGAAGAAAGGTTCTTGAGTGGCAGCCTCGTACCGGTAGGCGAAGTGTAGGGCGACCCCCCACGAGATGGAGTGACGACCTGGTAAAACATGCAGGAAGTCGATGGATGCAGATGGCTCAGGACCGTGGTTTGTGGCATTCCTTGGGGGAGGCCTATGTTCAGCAGTAGACTTATGAAAAGTTGTAATGATGATGATGATATATATGTGTGTGTGTGTGTGTGTGTGCGTGTGTGTGTGTGTGTGTGTGCGTGTGTGTGTGTGTGTGTGTGTGTGTGTGTGTGTGTGTGTGTGTGTGTGTGTCTGTGTGCGCGTGCGTGCGTGTGTGTGTGTGTGTGTGTGTGTGTGTGTGTGTGTGTTTATTTAAGCGTTTTTTGGAAATGGCACTAATGATGGATGAAATTTTGTATACAGGGTTATTTTGCAATAACTGGCCAAATTTGCAGAGAAGGTTTAGAATAAGTAATATAGGCAAACGGTGAAGAAAAATTAATTAAAAAAATCTTAAATATTCTGTCCATTTTATCTTTTAAATACAAAATGCAAAATTGATAAATATCTAACGCCTACTATTTTACTACGCACGCACACATTCGTAAGAGTAGATCGCAAAAACATGAATTGAACCGCACACAGACGAGCGCGCGTACTCGTAGTTGTTGCCCATAAATCACATTCAATTTGGAATAATTTCAAATAAAAATAGAAATCCTATTTACTCGTATTTTCAAAAACTATAATGACGCTATGTAATCGCTTACTTATATATTTTGACACTGTGAAATTTGGCTACTCTTTGAAAAATAACTCGGCTTAGCTTTCCATTGACGTCAGTGGAGTTTGGTGTTGATACGTATTTTTACAGAAAGATTACACTATTATAAGCACACACACAAAGCCTCAATATACGGAAACGCGTAATTTTTGAGAAAAGAATAATTGAAAATTAATTATTCTTGCAATGTTTATGTCTAATCTGCTAATAAACTGGCGCCATTTTGTAATGTCATTTTCGACGTCAATAGGGATGTCGATTCTTTCCGAAAAAGGTCGATTTTTAAATCGATTCAAATCGTAAGCTGATGTATCGGTTCACAAAAAATCGATTTCTAAAATATCTATATTTTTTTAATATTTCTATTTATAATGTAAATATAAACCCATTTTATGAAAAACAAGAAAGATACCATGATAAATGATCTCTTATTGAAATTTGTTTTATTTAACAGTACCTATTAGGGCAGATAACAAATAAAATAGGTTAGGTTCAACTTATGTCAAAGAACCGAATTGATTGACCCCAACTCCACCTGGTACGAGTCTGTCCTACCCCTAGAGTGGTTTTATAGAGCCGGAGGCGCGTAGGGGGAGCAGCCTCCGCCTGCTGTAACAAATCGTAGGTATCGGACGAGCCGGAGCGGCTGAGGCTGGTCGCCGAAGGCGACCAACAAGCCGAAGCTGCGGAGGCGAGGAGGGATGCCTGCGATTTGTTACGCTAAGGCGTAGAGGTTGCTCTTCCCGCAGCGCCGGAGACGTAGCAGTCTCAAAATAGATACAGAAATCCTTATGAATCAGTCCCCTTATTTTTTTATGATGAAGGGGATTTTTTTCTCATAAAATGGATTTATATTTACATTATAAATGCAAACATGAAAAAAATATCGATATTTTAGAAATCGATTTTTTGGGAATCGATACATCAGCTTACAATTTGAATCGATTTAAAAATCGACCTTTTTCGGAAAGAATCGACATCCCTATTGACGTCGACAATGACATCACAAAATGGCGCCAGTTTATTAGCAGATTAGACATAAACATTGCAAGAATAATTGATTTTCAATTATTCTTTTCTCAAAAATTACGCGTTTCCGTATATTGAGACTTTGTGTGTGTGCTTATAATAGTGTAATCTTTCTGTAAAAATACGTATCAACACCAAACTCCACTGACGTCAATGGAAAGTCGTACCAATAACTCTGTATGGGTAATGTACTTTACAAGTTTATCTAGATAGGAGTCATGCATTTATTTAATAGGAGTATTTTAGTGGTGATTGAAATAAAAGCGTTTTTATGTTACACACAAATAAATTGTAGGTACTATAACATTAACCCCAAACTTATAATAATTTCAGTTAATGTAGAACTCAAAATGAAATAGAACATCCATTCGAATAAAAAAATCATATTATTCATTTATATTATAAATGTGCATAAAATATTTTGTAAATATAAAAATTAAGGTTGCTAAAGGTGAAAATTTACTATAGGATTACAAGTATCATAACTCATTACCTAAATTAAGGAGTAAAAATAATATATACTAGTATCTAGTTGCCTTACATACATTATATTATATACAGGGCAAATTAATAAAAACATAACATATTAAACGGTCAACTTTAGTACTTTATAATTGGCAATTTCATTCAATGGCAATAAATTCAAGCAAGCCCTCCAGCAATCGTCCTAAGTCGTTGCAGGTAAGTGATATTATTAATACAAATCCACTAGATTTCAGAAAAAATATTACATTTAATATTTTCAATAATTAATCCTTGGGCTTTATAAAATAGTTACGTTAAAACAATATAATGCCAGAATGCAGGCTTAATTCGCTTATTACAGCTGTTAGCCATCCTTTCCACAAATAAACCAAACAATTAGTTACGGTGAAATGACGCTAATTTTTTTCGTAAAACCCTAGTTAACGACGATAACAATCAAGTTAATGTAAATGTAGGACATAAAATTACTCTCTATTTTACAATACAGTCAATTTGGAAAAATATTTAGATCATTCTAAGCTTTTCCTAACTCTATAGCAACCAATATCTGATTTAGAAATTTAGAAATATTTTAGTTAGCAGTTCACATCTAATGTGTAAAACGACATGTCGCATTTTAAAGGAGCTAGTCGTACATTTAAGACTTTGTTTTATTTATTTATTACTCATACATTAAATGAAGCTATGCCCTTGGAAACGAATTCTATCAGAGAATCTGAATCTCTTGTAAAATGTGTAGTCGCCGCTACAAAAACTGAGAGAAAACCAACTGTCATCATAATTGGAGATGATACAAAATATACCGTTTATGAAAACGTACTTATTAAGGAAAGTCTTACTAAAGTTCTTTCAGAAGAATACGTGCCGCAAATTATTTTACATAAACTGCAAATTCTAAATGAAACAGCAAACAAATTTAAAGGAAATGTTTTAGTAGTTATTTTCGTCCATAACTGTGAAACTTTTGAACAGTTAGATGTAATAGCTAATAACAAGAAATTGAAATACCTAATTATTCTCTACAAATATGAAGATTGTAATATGGCTTTAGAAATAGTTGGATGGACACTTCAAAACTATGACGCCACATTTATTTTTCAGTCGGAGAATCGTACAATTTATAAGTTTCAGACGACTATTCCAAATATTGATGAAAGTACTTGTGACTATGATGTTAAAGTTAAACCAACTCTAATTAATACTTGTTTCAATGGAACATTGGACAAACCTGTGATATTTCCTACTAAAGAAATAAAAAATCTGAAGGAGTGCCCGTTTCGTGTGGGAATGGCTACATTGTACCCATATTCAGTCATAGAAAATAAAGAATCCTTCCGAAATCTGCAACAAATAAATGAATCTCAAATACGTGGATCTGATTTTGAAATAATCAAAATTTTTTCTAGCATAATTAACGCATCTTTAAATATGTATTATATATATAGAGAAGAAAAAAATCCATATTTACGTAATGACTTTATTTCGTACATTTTTAATGGCAGCATAGACGCTTGTGCTGGAGGGCTTTACAGAATATATGGAGACCTGATTTCTTATTCAGGTGCATATAACAGGCAAGCAGTTATTTGGGTATATGGGGTAGAAAGAGAACCAAGATCTTTGCGAACAATTGTAGGTAAAATTGATGGATTGTTCATTTTTATTCTATTTTATATTTGTTATTCAGTAATTTGGATATTGTTCTGTAATTTTGATAGTCTCATTGTATCGTGGAGAAACACCTTTCTATATAGCTGGGGTGCATTATGAGGGGCAGCTTCTTTACAAGATTCGACAACGTTAAAGCAGAAAACATTAAACCTTTTCTATTTGATTCTTTGTATTCACTTGTCGGCATATGTTAGCGTGCAATTATATTCATTTTATACTATCCAAGGACCTCCACAGATGTTTAAAACGAACGATGAAGTCATGGAATCAGGTAGGACGCCTTATTTAAATTACGACACCAAATTTTTTGTAAATGACGCCAAGTATATCGCTTTTGCTAAAACCGCACTAAATTGTACTGGATTTGAAGAATACGAGGACTTGGCAATTTCTAACAATGGGGTAACTTGTATCATTGAAGGATATTTCTACCCTTTACAAGCATTCACTGCTGTTGAAAATGAAGCTCGGGTGCTAAGGGCTTCAGAAAACGTTTTAATTACTTATCATAACATGATTATTCGAAGTGACAGTCCTTTTGTGAGGAAATTTCAAAATATCGTTGTAAGCCTTTTTGAGGCGGGTATTTGTGATAAACTGTACGTAGAAGCGATTGGTCTGTTGGTAGTAGCTAAAGCTAAGAGTGCCAACGAAAATATTATGGCGAATAGTTACAGTTGCGAGTTTGGATGTGCCATCACAATAGCACAAATTGCGGGTGCAATATACGTTTGGATCGTTGGTTGTACTCTTTCCTTCATTGTATTTTTAATAGAAATAATGGGAAACAAGAAATCTATGGGGCAGTCACCTTAATATGAAACGTAAATAACCTAGTGTAAAATAACTTCTTTTTTTTTTAATATAAAATTTGTATGGTGTCAGCGTAAAAATAAACTAAAAACGTAATATAAGTTTCTTGCCCTTAATTAAATTGTGTAATAAATATTTTGTATTTTATCAAACCATATTAAAAAATCTTTATTGCAGGCTAACGATAAATATTAATATTAAATAAAACAATTAAATTGACGTAAATATGGGCAAAACCCTTTCTTTAAAACTATAAAAGTAAGACAAATACAGGCCATTGTCAAAGTTAAAATATGTTTTATTCATAATTTGCCTTCATAAAGCACTTTTTGTAAATAAAAAAAATAAACTGTATCAACGCTTCAACAAGTCCCTATTGCGGAAACATTGTTAGAAGAAGCGCGACGAAACTCAAAATTAGATTATTTATCGCCCTTCATTCTCCGAATGGTACACTATATATTTATAAATTAAGAAAATCTTCCAATGCTTTAAATTCTTATAATTTAAATAGTAAAAAATCATATAAAAAAACCCTTTTCCATTAGAATGCTTTTTACATGTCTTCAATTTATGTATATGCAATTAATTGGGGCAACTCAATAATATTAGGGTGTTACCACACCAGTCGATCGATCGTTGAACGATGGCATCGATTTGTTTTAAAGGATAAGGTGACAAACGATCACACAGTCCATCTGATGTTAAGTGGTTGCTGTGGCCCATAGACATCTACATATATCCTCGTTTGCGAATCAAAATGCGGAAGCGTTGTTACCGGTGAGGAATAAGATGGAATGCCTGTTTTCCAGTAAAAAGGGTCTCTGGTTCTCTTTACTCACAATACAAAACACAGCAGTGTTAAGCTGCTATTTTACGCCGGTATTCTGTGAGAGCGTGATCCTTCCCCGGTCGAGCCGACCCATTCGTGCTACAACTATACTACTAATATAGTGCAACTATTGGCACTAACATGGCTCTACCACGTATAAAATTTTATCTTCTAAATATTATTAAGAAGACGCTGCTGCCAATCTCCTGTTTTGATTCCTTCAGTTGCCTCTTACAACACCCACGTGACAATATGCTATAGCAGATATTCTGACACCACCCATGCGGTTATTTTTTTTTAAAAAGGCTCTTTAAAACTCTTTAGATTTTAAATATATGTAATTATATGTCTCACGTCCGTACCGGTCCCCTGATCACCGCGGCCTACAACATGCATTATCTATGAGCAGGCAGCGGTAAAAGTAGATCCGAAACGGTTATATAACCTTCGTGATGTATCATTACTCGTTTTATCGCATTTTAGGATAGCCTGCATAATAGGGAGGAGGTTGGAGAGATCAGAGAGTTCTAACGTAAACATAGTGTTTAATCACCAAACATATTATTATACGTAATATAAAATGTTTATAAATCTTTCTTTGGTACCGAGCCTTTTCGGTGTGATTTGTGCAGTGCATGTGCAGCCAAGAGGTTTTTACAGCTTCATTTACTTGGTACCTACTAAACCATCAAACAAGTATGACCATATAAGTCGATATGTGTAATTATCTATTGTATTATTTTAATGTTTATTCGTAAAATTTTGCTTTTTATTTACTTTGTATCAATATTTATATAATTAATTTGAAGTGAATGTGCTCAGTACCTATTTAATTTTATGAAAACCTAAATGTATACAAATATAGCACTATAAGAATATTTGAAGCCATCCAATAAAACTAATTTAACGGATTTTATCGCATTTATTTTTAACTTCTTTATTCGCCCGAATTAAAACCCGCGTAAAAGAACATATGAATGTAAAGCACCGACGTTTCGGGAAATCTGCATTATGTCAACATGTCATCATCGTCGTTATGTCATTATGTCATCATATCATCATCATCGTCCCAAGCATTATGTTCCAACCATTATATCAAATTTCTTAGACCACTAATCCTCTCAAAAGAATATATGTAGATGTCTATGGGCCACAGCAACCACTTAACATCAGATGGACTGTGTGATCGTTTGTCACCCTATCCTTTAAAACAAATCGATGCCATCGTTCAACGATCGATCGACTGGTGTGGTAACACCCTAATATTATTGAGTTGCCCCAATTAATTGCATATACATAAATTGAAGACATGTAAAAAGCATTCTAATGGAAAAGGGTTTTTTTTATATGATTTTTTACTATTTAAATTATAAGAATTTAAAGCATTGGAAGATTTTCTTAATTTATAAATATATAGTGTACCATTCGGAGAATGAAGGGCGATAAATAATCTAATTTTGAGTTTCGTCGCGCTTCTTCTAACAATGTTTCCGCAATAGGGACTTGTTGAAGCGTTGGTACAGTTTATTTTTTTTATTTACAAAAAGTGCTTTATGAAGGCAAATTATGAATAAAACATATTTTAACTTTGACAATGGCCTGTATTTGTCTTACTTTTATAGTTTTAAAGAAAGGGTTTTGCCCATATTTACGTCAATTTAATTGTTTTATTTAATATTAATATTTATCGTTAGCCTGCAATAAAGATTTTTTAATATGGTTTGATAAAATACAAAATATTTATTACACAATTTAATTAAGGGCAAGAAACTTATATTACGTTTTTAGTTTATTTTTACGCTGACACCATACAAATTTTATATTAAAAAAAAAAGAAGTTATTTTACACTAGGTTATTTACGTTTCATATTAAGGTGACTGCCCCATAGATTTCTTGTTTCCCATTATTTCTATTAAAAATACAATGAAGGAAAGAGTACAACCAACGATCCAAACGTATATTGCACCCGCAATTTGTGCTATTGTGATGGCACATCCAAACTCGCAACTGTAACTATTCGCCATAATATTTTCGTTGGCACTCTTAGCTTTAGCTACTACCAACAGACCAATCGCTTCTACGTACAGTTTATCACAAATACCCGCCTCAAAAAGGCTTACAACGATATTTTGAAATTTCCTCACAAAAGGACTGTCACTTCGAATAATCATGTTATGATAAGTAATTAAAACGTTTTCTGAAGCCCTTAGCACCCGAGCTTCATTTTCAACAGCAGTGAATGCTTGTAAAGGGTAGAAATATCCTTCAATGATACAAGTTACCCCATTGTTAGAAATTGCCAAGTCCTCGTATTCTTCAAATCCAGTACAATTTAGTGCGGTTTTAGCAAAAGCGATATACTTGGCGTCATTTACAAAAAATTTGGTGTCGTAATTTAAATAAGGCGTCCTACCTGATTCCATGACTTCATCGTTCGTTTTAAACATCTGTGGAGGTCCTTGGATAGTATAAAATGAATATAATTGCACGCTAACATATGCCGACAAGTGAATACAAAGAATCAAATAGAAAAGGTTTAATGTTTTCTGCTTTAACGTTGTCGAATCTTGTAAAGAAGCTGCCCCTAATAACGCACCCCAGCTGTAGAGAAATGTATTACCATAAGATACAATGACACGATCAAAATTACAGCATAATATCCAAATTACTGAATAACAAACATAAAATATAACAAAAATGAACAATCCATCAATTTTATCTATAATTGTACGCCAAGATCTTGGTTCTCTTTCTACCTGATATACCCAAATAACTGCTTGTCTGTTATATTCACCTGAATAAGAAATCAGGTCTCCGTATATTCTGTAGAGCCCTCCAGCACAAGCGTCTATGCTGTCATTCAAAAGGTATGAAATAAAATCATTACGTAAATATGGATTTTCTTCTTCTCTGTATATATAATACATATTTAAAGACGCGTTAATTTTGTTACAAATAATTTTGATTATTTCAAAATCAGATCCACGTATTTGAGATTCATTTATTTGTTGCAGATTTCGGAAGGATTCTTTATTTTCTATGATTGAATATGGATACAATGTAGCCATTCCCACATGAAAGGGGCATTCCTTCAGATTTTTTATTTTCTTAGCAGGAAATATCACAGGTTTGTCCAATGTTCCATTGAAACAAGTATTAATTAGAGTTAGTTTAACTTTAACATCATAGTCACAAGTACTTTCATCAATATCTGGAATAGTCGTCTGAAACTTATAAATTGTATTATTTTGAGACTGGAGAATAAATGTGGCATCATAGTGTTGAAGTGTCCATCCAACTTTTTCTAAATCCATATTACAATCTTCATATGCGTAGAGAATTATTAGGTATTTTAATTTCTCGTTCATAACTACAATGTCTAACTTTTCAAAAATTTTACAATTATGGACGAAAATAACAACTAATATAATGTTTTCTTCAAATTTGTTCGCTGTTTCATTTAGAATTTCCAGTTTATTTAAAATTATTTGCGGCATGTATTCTTCTGAAAGAACTTTAGTAAGGCTCTCCTTAATAAATACGTTTTCATAAACGGTATATTTTGTTTCGACTTCAAATATGGTTACAGTTGGTTTTCTTTCAGTTTTTATAGCGGCGACTACACATTTTACAAGAGATTCAGATTCTTTGATAGAATAAATCTCTAAGGGTACAGCTTCTGAATTTAATGTATGAGTAATAAAAATATAAAATAAAATCTTCAATGTTCGAGTAGCTCTTTTCAAGTGCGACATATCGTTTTGCGCATTAGATGTGAAATGTGAACCAAAATATTTTTAAATTTATAAATCAGATATTGTTTGCAATAAAGAGTTAGAAAATTCTCAGAATGTTCTTAAAAATATTTGAACATTATAAAAACAGAAAATTTTTCCTGTATTTTCTTTGACTTGGTGGTTATCGTCGTTAACTTGGATCTTTCGGAAAAAAGTGGTATTTCACCGTTCCTAAGTTACCGTTAAACGTTTAACCGTTACTGGAAAACGGTTTTGTTTATTTGTGTCATAGCTATAGCTATGATATTAAGCATGCATTCTGGCAATATATACTATTGCCAAGTATTAATTATAGTTTAACTGTAATATTTTTTCTGAAATCAAGTAATATGCATCAATAATTTCACTTAGCTGCATTGATTTTGGACGACTG